TAGTTTGAAAGATGTTCCAAAGTCAAGAGGAGCCGTTGGGTCAGCAGGTAAAGGATGAGTCTAGAGAGCGAGATTTCTACGGTTCGAATCCCTCTCTAGGCACCAATTTTTTTTTTTATAGACCTGATTCAGTCAGACATGAACATACCTGTTCACGTCTGATCATACCTGCTCATGCCTGATCAGGCATGGTCATTTTTCCCGCGTTTGCCAAGCATGGAAAAGCATGATCATGACTGATTAGTTCTGATGATGCTTGGTCTTGCATGACCATACAAGCTCATGTCTGGCAAATATACATGCATGATCATGTATGACATTAACGCCTGATCGTACATGTTCATGCATGATGATTTTTTCCCGGGTGGAGTCCATCGACCTAACAACAAGAGACAATCCCGTCTCGATCTTTAGCGAAGATGGAATGCTCCATCTCGACTTGAATTAGTTTAAAACTAGTCAAAAAAAATATTGATCGCATTGGTGATAAAACGAACTCATTTTAATTATTAAAATCACGGTTGAGAAAATTGGTTTATAAACAATTATTTTTAATGTTATTATTTACTATGTTAAACAAAATAATTGTTATTGAAATATATTTTATGTACCTGACAAATTATTTGACTTGATATTATTACACTCAGATTAATCTGTAAGAGCGACATAAATAAAAAAAACTCAATTTTAGTTTCGAGAGAACTGCTTTTTTTGAAATATCGAGAGTAGAGTACTACCTCAACGCTTCATTAATAAGGCGTGCAATTATATGAATAATAAATTTAATGAATAAAATACATAAGACTCAAGTTTGCCGAAGTTTTAGACTTTTTGATTTTTTTTAATTTATTAAATTACAACTAAAAAATATTTTTTAAAAAATGCACTTATAGTTTCTTAAGTTTTTTACAAATGAAATTTTTAAAAAATTTTTTTGTAATAATTTTTTCAATAAAAAATATTCTAAAAATTTTTAGATGTCGGCTAACTTAATTTTCATATAAAATACATACCCGAAGACCCTTTTATTTTTTCAGCCACAGTAGCTTTGGACAAAAAAGTCCAGAACGGCCGCATGCATCCAAAGATACCATCCAAAAAACTAGCTCTAGGTGTCTCTGGACTGTCATCTAGCTCCGGTTTAGTTTCATTTTCACCGGTATTGTCCAACTTCTCATCAGACTGAGCGTGTAGTACTGTTTCTGGCTTAGTCAACTGTCCGTCCTTTAGCACTCCAGACGCCAGACTCGCGTTGACAGGTATCCTGTGCAGCTTTCCGAGTCCTTCTTCGATACATAGCATGCTGGAATATAAATCTAATTAGCAAAAGTAATCACTCTTTCTCTTTCACACATATATCAATATATTTTATACATACAAATAAATTTATATATAATATTTATGCAAAAAAAAAAATTTACCCAGGTGTTACTTTGCTTACTGAAGCTGGACTAGATAAATCATCTTTTTTTATAAAAAATCTTGTAAATACCATCTTAATTTGACGAACATACACTGATTATTATCAATTATCAATTATTAATATTAATATTATTTGTTTTTGTTTAACAAAAAATTTATTAAGTGATTGTGATTGTTAAGCATAAATAATGACATATTAAGTGCAACAAATCAAAATCAAACTCGAGTAACAAACACACCACGTTTTTTTTTTTTTCTTATCATCAATTTGATTGAAAATATATGATAAATATTGAATACAAAAATGTTTTAACAAAGCACTTTATCACAGTTTAGTTTTTATTACTCTATTTGTCACACATTTGTTATTAAATTAAATTATCCATATTAATTAACGAATAATGATGATCCTCTTTTTTTAATTTCATCAGATCATGTTTTTTCCTCTTTACGACGTATATTAAAATTGTTTTTGAGCTATTATCGTTACGTATCAGTCTTTTTAATTGTACTTTCAAGAAATCACATAGTAACCACGTATGTGTCGATAATATATACATGTATGTATACGTCCACTATTTACACAAACGTCAGTGTGTGCGCACCCAACCACGCACTTGTTATTGTGGTGTGATGTTGATATATAAATATACATACAAAGGTATGTCCATATCTGTGTGCTGTATTTGTATATATATTAATTAATAAAACGATTGGAGTGCCGATTGATATGGAAGCCTTCGAGGAATGCAAATACAAATAAAATAATATAATTCACTTTGACTGAAGCTGAGAATAAAAAATTTGTGAGTTGAATCTCGAGTGGAAATTATTTAAATACTTTTAGTTCTTGTTTTTGGCTGTAGGTGTCATGACAATTGTTGTTGTTTTTTAGATAGTGAAACTAGCAGACAGTAAACAATTTTTTATGTTTTTTTATTAATTAAATTAAAATTAAAAAAATAATTTTAAAATTGCATTTTTAATTTTTTAAAATTTCTCCATATTAATTTTTTTTATGAAAATGAAGTTAGCCGACATTTCAAAATTTTTAGAAATTTTTTATTGAAAAAATTTCAATTAAAAAAAAAATTCACCTGTAAAAAACTTGAAAAACTATAAATGCAATTTTTTAAAAATATCTTTTTAGTTGTAATTTAATTAATAAAAAAAATCAAAAATTTTTAGACGTCTGCTAACTTAGTGTCATTTTTTTTTCTGCCATAATTTACTTGTTACAAAAATTATAAAAATTATCAAATATCTGCTAAATTAAATGACATTAAAGTTAGCCGTCACTTGACAATTTTTTTATTTTATTTAACAAAAAAATTTGTTCCAAAAAATTATTTTTAAAAAATTGCATTTTTAATTTTTTTGAATTTCTACATATCAGTTTTTTTAATAACATTTTTCTTGTCATAATTTATTTGTTCCAAAATTATTAAATATCTGCTAAATTGATTTTAATCTAAATTAATTTTCATAATTTTCTCTTTTAATTTTTTCGTTATTATTTTTTCAATAAAAAAAATTTTCATGACACTGAAATTGACAGACATTAGAAATTTTTTTTTTATCATTTTATAATAAAATTTTTAAGAAAAAAATTTAATTAAAAACTTTCAAAAGTAAAAATTTTAAAAAATTATTAGCAAAAATTTTTAGAAGCATTTTTTTCAGTGTAATTGATTTGTTATAAAAATTAAAAAAATTGACAGCTGTCAGCTGCTTCAGTATCTTAAATTTGCAGATGTTGGCTCATTTAATTTTCAGTTTTTTTTTCTGATGAATTGTGATTAGAAAATTAAAAAAAAAATTGTTTATATTATCTAAAAAATAAAACATTTTCTTTTTAATTTAAAATATTGAAATTTTACAAAATTATATCTTCATAAAATTAAAATAATTTCTTATTGGAGAAAAAAAATAATTTAGAATCATAAATAAAATTTTTAATGACCAGTTTTAAGATTTTAATGGCAGTGTTTTTAGTATGACTGAAATTATAAATGATTTTAGACCCGCTTTGGCCATAAAAATATTCTGGATATAAAAATAAAAAATTTCTGAAGTACTTAAAGTTTGTGAGAGTCATAAAAAATAAAACAAAGATTCGATTATTAAGTCAACACTAAAAAGATTTGTCTTGACAAATAATAACTAAACGTAAAATCAATACCCATTAGTAAATATATGACTTCCACTGTGGGGAGTTGATAACGCCAAAGGATTGACAATAATCCCCGATGACGATGGTATAGGTGACGATGAAGAAGATCTTGATTTACGTTTTAGGTGAAATTCAAAGCCATAATTGTCATGTGTACGGTTCAGCTCCGTTTCTGACCCCGGAGTCCTCATTTTTTAGGGTTTACTAATTCTTGGTACCTGAAAACATCGTTATCATTAATATTGATATCAAAACCAATATTATTTTATTTATAATCATAATAATAATAATTTATTTATTTATTAAACTTTTGAATGTTTAACTCTAAGTAGTATGAAAATTTTAAGTGTGTAATATCAAACAATTTCTGTGATAAAGAAAATAAATTAATTTAAATTCAAAATTTTGGAGTAAATATCAAAGATATGAAGAAATCATATAATATCACCCATATATCTTTCTTTCCCCAGAATCTGAATTTAAAGTTCAAAAATAAAATTACAAAATTTACTCGTGGATTTCAAAAGTTAAAAGTGCCGAATATTGGCTAAAATATTAGAGACACTAAAAAATGATAAGAAACTTTTTTTATAAAAAATTAATTTTTCTACAAAAAAATTCCTCATCAATTTTATCTCAGCCCTAACTCTTTAGTCTGAGTTTTAAAAATAAAAATTTAAACATTTAAAAAAATATTATTTTCTAAATAATAAATTAGAAAAATAGTTATGCAACTCTTATATCGATATTAGACCTTAAATATTTTAAATCTTAAAACAGGTTTCGACTGGATCTAAAAAATATTTGGGACAGGTATAAAGAGCTGAGGGTCTCAAGCCTGAAGAAGAATGCAAGTACAAAGATAAAAAGAGTAGAAGAGTAACTAAGAAAGGAAGAATTAAAAACCTGCGCCTTAGGGCAGTGAGTCATCCTCTCACTCCTCACTATATTATTATTAAGTTCAATATGTATATATTGTATACATAAGTACACAATACAAGACCATAACTTGATAATTAGATATGCCTTTAAAATTATAAACATCAACTATCTTATCTGTTTTTTTTTTTATTTTAACTGATAAACTATTAATAGTTTACCTATTTAAACAATTCAAGATTCTGAAGTTGAAATGTCATTTTTAAATTCTAACACGTGTGCTCATGGGAGTACAGATTCAGGCATTGAAGTCACTCAATCATCACAATGATCATAATAAATTCAAACTATCTCTTTACACACTTCTTACAACTTTGTTCATTGCATTTTTCTACGAAGTTTTTTTTTTTTTATAATTAGAAAAATATTTTTTAATAAGTATTTATTAATTACAAAAATAATAACATAAAAAATTTGATAATTATAAATTTTTTTAGTGAGTCTTTGTAGAAGTATAATTTTTTTTTTTTTTTGGAGTTATTTAACATGCCCTTGGTAATTTTTTTTTCTCAGAGAAAGGGACATTGGATGCGAGAAAAAAAGATAAAAAAAGAGAAAGCAGTAAGGTGTAGGGACAAGAGAGACAAGTGATTATAAAATTCAGAAACCATCAGGCTCGTAGCAATATTTCAATGAACCCATTTTTATAAAAATTGCATTTTAAATTTTAATTATTTCATCATAATCATATTCAATAAATAGTATCGTTAAAAAAAAAAAAAAAAAAAAAAAAATTATAAAAATATTTGGCAATTAAAATTATAAAAAATTTTCATATAATTATTTTTGTAATTTTTAAAATTACACTCATAATTTTATAAAATTTAGTGCAATTAAAAAAAGTTATTACAATAATTTATTATTGTTAATAAAAAAAATTTCAATACTATAATTATAATTAAATAAACTTATAATCAAGTGAATAAAATCTTACTTTAATTAAATGGTCTCCAAAATAAATCTTGAACAAAACAAACCATTGCAATCACTTGCAAGTCAAACAAAAAAAGTACTTGACTAAAAAAAACAATATTGACAGTTTAAAAATTGATAACATAAAAAAGTCCACACTTTGCAATGCATCATCCGGCACACAAATAAAAAAACTCTTAATCCTGAGTATTATAGATCCCACTGACAATTATCAATATCAATAACAAAGTCGAGTATTAAAATCCTGCAAGCAAATCTTTAAAATAAAAAAAATTTTACCCGACGCTTGAAGCTTAATTAGCTAATCACTTTCGGATAACAAAAGTTTTTTTCACAATAACATTGATAATAACAATTAAAAAACATATTAAATCGCGAGTGCGCGTCCGTGGTTACTACAACATGGCGTGTTGAGTAAAATTCCCAGGCACCAGAGTAGAGAGCTCGATCAGGGACTCCGCCGCGTCTAGGTAAATAATTGATCCTTTTACTCCTTGCAGTTTCGAATTTAAATCACTCAATGCATTATTCAAACACTAGCGAGCTTTAATTTAAAAATTAAAAATCTGTACCAATAATTTTTAAAAATAATACAACTATAGCAGAGCTTTGTTATTAAATTGTATTATAAATATGAAGACGGTGGAGTACGAGCGGAGCACTATACTACAATACTGTACATATAATACTTGTATGAATAGTTACTTGGGTGTGCGTGTGTGTGTATTCTGTACCACTGACTGTCAGTGTCAGTGAGAGCGACGGTGTGTTCCCACCCTTGTCTGGACAGTGGGGTCACTGTCTATGTATCCTCTTCTCAACCTCAACCAAACGTTTTCCAGCATAATATAAGGGTAAGGGTGGCCTGAGCGATCGTAGTGCTGGTGGTGGTATCGACCAGGCGTGGGGGTGGATAAATCGTATTAAGGTGGGAGCAAATACCGCTAGACGAAGACAAAAAATCCAGGAACGTATATAATATTATTTTGTTTATATTTCTTCTGCTGAAAATATTTACCTGGAAAAAAAAAAAAAAAAAAAAAAAAAAAAAAATTCATTTAATTATAAGTGCAATTTTTTATAAATTAATAATAAAAAAATTTTTTACCAGATTTTTGGAGTTTTAAAAAGGATCAGCTTCAAGGTCAGGATCCAGCGCCAAGAAGTCTGACCCAAGTTCTAAGAAGTCGTTACTCCTTGCGTCACTCAATGGCTTTTGGTATATATATTTAGTATTATGTATACATCGGTGATTGAGTTTTTGGGGTGTGGAGCAGAGGGTCGATTCTGTTGTGACGTCACAGAAAAACTTCCTGACTCCGCAGTGTCTCGCTAAGAATAAATGCGCGGTGTGCAAGAATATACGGATTTAAGTATATCACATGTATGATGAATATAAGTAGATTGCAAATAGAATTAAAAGTTACGGTCGATAGAGTGTAAGTCCCAGGGTGGCGACGATAATACTGATGTTAACTATGTCTATAATTTATAATTTTACTCTATTCTTTTTTTTTTTTGTAAATAATAAATCTTAAGTACTTTTATTGAATAAATTTTTTTCACAAATTTTTTGTTGTAATAAAATAAAAAAATCTTTTATGACATTAAAGTTAGCAGTCACGCCATTAAAATTTTTTTTAACCAACAAATTTGTTCCAAAAAATTATTTTTAAAAAATTTATAATTTTTAAAAATTATTTTCTTATTTTTTTTTCCAAAATTTATTTATTAAAAAAATTCTTAAAATTATCAAATATCTGCTAAATTAATTTTAATAATTAGATTCATTAAAAATTTATATAAAAAAATCCATTCAATTTTTTTTAAAACTAAAAATTTTCTATCTATCTTTCTAATTCGTTGTATGAAGAAATAACACCTTCAATTTTAGAAAAAGCACTTAGAAAATCATCATCTTCCATCTCAAATTTTTTATACTGATGCAAAAACGCTCCATAAGTATAAGAATTCCAGGCTTTGCTGACAATAACATCCAGAGTTTTATTAACCGCTGAGTTATTAGTTATCAAAGAAGAAAATTTATCATAATTAAGCAATCTCCGATTCTGATGAAAATGTCTGAACTTGTCATAATCTGTCAGCCAGTGTAGCTGAGCATAAATATCATTTTTAATCAGCTCGTCGCAGTTATACGGATCATCAAGCTGATGACACACCAACTTATTATTCTTCTTTACCTTGTCACTATTAACTCCTCTAGTAATCAAAATATTTGCCAAAGAACGTCTTTGGTTTAAATTCCCCGACAGTAAATTGCGCCTCAAATATTTAAACTGCGCCTGCCAATTAATAGAATTAATAGAAGAATCCTTCTGAACACTCCAAGATTTTTCCAACAAACTAGTGTTGCTCGGCAAGACCAGCGGAACTGTTTCAATGCTGGTGAACTTGTAAGCTGGATGCGGTACGAGTTTGGACACCATGTGCTCCAGATCATTCAGCGAGTTATTGTCCACGTCATTGGCTGCTTGTAACACTGACAGGAGCTTTTGACACGCAACCTCGTTGATGTCATTTGGGAAGCTAACATGCGACTTTAAATTACCAAACTTGACAGCTTCATCATGCAACTTGTCATTTTCCATGACCACCACCATGTCAGCGCTGTCAATTATTTTAGCCAGGCTCAACAGAATGTTGTAATTCTGCGTAGCTATCTCTCCAGATCCAAACGGCAGCAACAAAGTCGACAGGATACTCTTCTTCGGGTACTCGTCTCTCAACGACTGGATGATGAAACTCCCCAGCCCGGATCCAGTGCCTCCAGCGCAGCCAGACAGACACAGAAAACTGTCAACTGTATCCGAGAGCTCCAACTCGTACCTGACGGCATCGTGAACAGACTCTTCGAACTCAGGGCCCTTTTTCACGAACCCGTAGGCCCAATTATTAGCAGAACCTGAAGAATAGTCGGTACTTACAATATTACTGGCTCGGTAGCACCACTTGTCTTCTTTCTGCTTCAATATTTTGTTTATCACTTTTTTTTCAGTGTCTACTAACACAGCTCGTGCATACATACTCCCCGACTTTGATGTTCCTTGGAACCACTTGGCTGTCGAATTCTCAGCGTACTCATGGTTTGATGATTCATTACCACGCGTTGACTTTATGTCTTCTATTATTTTAGAATATAATTTACCACCAATCTGATTACCGCACTGTCCAAATTGCACTGTCAACATTTTTTAATTTGAAGTTTGGACGAAAATTAAATTGTATATTATTGTTTGGAGGTTAATCATCTAATCACATGCTTGTTTACTTTTATTTAATTTATTCACATGTGTGTGTCGTCTGTCAGTTTTCTTCTTATGAAAACTCACGTTTTGCCATCTTGCTCTCTCTCTCTCAAATAAATTTAAATTCTAAAAGTTGGACTTAAGAGACATCTAGTGGTAAGAAAATGAGTTATTTTATCCACATTCAAATACGGCGCTTGGTACAGATGTTTTAAATTATTTAAACCGTTTTTGTTCATTTTAAAAAGTTCAGTGAAGAATAAAATTAAAATTATGGAGAATGTGAAGTTTATAAATTACCAAATAAATTATTTTAGTGAGTTTCTATAATTCTTGATAATAATATTAATGCTCCAAATTATCCGATGTGCTGAAAAACATGGTTATTTATTATAGCACCGAAGTTGAGACAGGTAGAAATTTTTTTATAATTTAAAATGACATTAAAGTTAGCAGTCACTTGATTATTTTTTAGTTTTTTTTTTTGACAAATATATTTGTTCCGAAAAATTATTTTTAAAAAATTGCATTTTTAATTTTTAAAAATTTCTACATGTCAATTTTTTTTTTATAATTTTTTTTTGCCATAATTTACTTGTCAAAAAAATTTTTTAAATGATCAAATATCTCCTAAATTAATTTTAATTAATTTAATTAATACTAAATTTCGCCGAAATTTTTAATTTTATAATTTTGTTCAGTTTATTTAGTTTATTAAATTAAAACTAAAAAAATTTTTTTTTAATTCCACTTACAGTTTTTCAAAATTTTTACAAATGAAATTTAAAAAAAATTTTTTTTTAATGATTTTTTCAATAAACAAATTCTAAAAATTTTTAAATGTCGGCTAACTTTAGTCTCATTTAATTTAATAGCAATGAAATTATTGTGAAAAAAATTTAATAAAAATATTTTACATGTGAAAATAAAAAAAAATAATTAGTGAAAATTTTTAGAAGCATTTTTTTCAGTAGAATTGATTTATTATAAAAATTAAAAAAATTGATAGGTGTCAGCTGACTTCAGTATCATTATTTGTTACTGAATAAAAAAGTACACTACAGTTTTTTTTTTGTTTATTTATTGTAAGTGCTTCAATATTATTTTATTTAATCTACTAGTTATTAATGACAACAACAATATAATAATAATAATTTTTAGTACAACTTTAAAAGTTGACAATGAAAAATATTTCTGATATTTGCCAGTTCATCATCTACAAAAGATTATTAAATCAATAAAATAATAATAATTTCATTTATTGTGCATTTTGAATCATTTCAGAAAAATTTGAAATATTATGTTGATCATTAATATAAGGACGCACGTCATTGATCTCAGAATAATATTTAAATTTTTTATCAATAAAATCAAAAGCAATTCCAAAATTAATTAAATTTTTCATTGAATTCAATTGAACTGAATTTGGTGACTTATCATAAAACGTCCCAATCAAAGCAATCCCAATGCTCTTCTTGTTGACACCAATGGTGTGAGCACCGACGGTTCTCCACCCCCGTCCAATGTAGACTTTTCCATCACCGCTGATCAGGAAATTGTACCCAATATATCTCGATTCCATGGATACGATGAGATATATTTCGCTTGAAGCTCTCGGACAATTTTGTCGCAAGACTGCCGATAATAACACGATTCAGTGCCTGTGGGATAGATCAAAACATATATGGAACTGGAGTAACCAATGTCTCGACTGGATCCGTCGTTGGCAATGCTTTCCATTCGTCACGATTGATAAATCGTAAAATATCCCAGGTTTCTAAAAAAGTTTATAAATAAGTTTTATAGATGGTTTTTAAAATAAATATTTAGTTTATGTAAATATTACCCAATGGAGAGTCGAACATCCTGGCTTCTTCTTCGGTAAGGAATATGTATCCATCAACTTTAATAGTTACCGTGATAAACACTATTAAATTCATCAGCAATGATAATGAAAGTTGTTGTATCTTGATTAGAATTGTTCAGTTGAAGAATAATTTGTTCGCTGATAAAGTTTTGTATTATTGGAACTATCATATATATACTTAAGAAATTAAACGTAATTAACTTTTTATTGTCATTAAAAATGGTCTGTAAGCTTTAAGTACCGATAAAAAATTTTTAAGTTAATAAAACAAAAATAGAATTGATTAAAAAAATAATTATATCTTTCCGGTGACCGGAAATTTTTATATAAATGTTATAAAAAAAACTATAAAATTAAATTTTAATTATTTACTCTAATATTGTTTTTAGTATTATTTTCTTATTAGAAAAATAAAATATTTGATCAGAGTGATTGTCATCAGATTTTAAAGCTATTTTTTAAAATTCTTATCATAGAGTCGTAAAAATGATCTATTTTTAGATAGAATAAGTAGATGACTTCATGAAAGTTTTTTTTTTTTAATTAAAAATAACAAATAAAATTTTTAAAAATGTATTAAATGAAGAGAATATTTTACAAATAAAAAATCTTATAATAAATTATTCCTTTCTTTATAATAAAATCAAAATACAATTATTTATGAATAAGAATAATCGAATTTATCCATAAACTTCTGCATTACTTCATCAACATATTCGACAATAAAAGCCATTGGAGGGATGCTAATATAATGAGCATCTTCGTTTATTTTACCATTTTTAGTACCAAACTCAATTAGTTTGATTGCATTGCGAATTAGAGCATCAGGTACTACCTTTGAAAAATAATTCCCGATTAAGCCTATTCCAATACTTCTACCGTTATACCCATTAGTAACTCCACTGGTGGTATCCCAGTCGCGGGCCACGTAAACAAGTCCATCTCCACCAACAAGAAAATTGTATTGGAGATTATCATTCATCAGCTTCATTCTCGTTTTATGAATTCTTGATACTATTTCAGAACAGTGGGTTCTGTTGTAACACTCTTCAGTGTTGGTTTGATAAAAAATAACATATGGAACGGGATTTTTTAATTTAGGTGAATTATTCAATCTTGCAACTGCACCCCAGCTGAGAGGATTTACAAACTTGGGTTCCAATCTAATAATTATACAAGAATAAAAATATTGTTTTGAAATTATAAAACTTAAGAAAAAAAATTTAAGACTAAAATATTTTAATTATAAATTATGATATTAAATAGATTTTTATTACCTTGAATTTTTAGAAGAATCATTTGAAGTTTGAACATATATGAAGGGTGGACGCATAGCTAAACATGGGACGAATTGCAAAATATTACAAACAACAAGGAGTATCAAAATCTCTTTCTTCATCAGAGACATTTTTTTTTTGTACTGACACCATCTTGAAATTTTCTTTTTAAATAAAAAGCCCAGTGTGATAAATATAGACTAAAAACTAAAAACGTATAAATAATTAATTAACCAGTTCCGTTATAAAATATAAAAATAAAAAAATCTATTTTGATAGTCTCTATTCAACTAAAATATACCAATTAACAGTAACAATAATAAGTAAAAAAATTTTATGAGTATAACATTTTCAAACAATAGACTAGATTAAAAAAAAAAAAAATTAATTGTTAAGGTTTCTCAGACCAATGATCCATTACTTTGATAATTCCAAATAAAACATCACCAGGACTCAAAGTTTCCGACACCTGACGATGTCCAAGGAGTTTGTAATTCCCACTGATTTTTTCATTTTTAACACCAAGCTCGATCAATTTCTCCAGCGCGTGAATTTGTCTTCTCGGTGGAGTTTCTTTGTTGAATGTGCCAATAAAGCTGATCCCAATGCTCTTGCGATTAAATCCAAATGCGTGAGCACCTTCAATATCCCACCCGCGGCCAACGTAGACGAGCCCATCGCCTCCAATCAGGAAGTTGTAGCCGATGTCAGCCCATCCGTTGCCTTCTATATGCATCGTCTGAGCTAATCGGACGCGTTGGATACATTCCGCTTGATTGTTGCAAGATTCTGATGCTGTGTGACTGATAATTACATATGGCGCAGGAATTATTTCTAATTTTTTGGGTTTTTCTTCTGGAGGCTGCGCTCCCCATTCGACTCGTTGGATGAATCTTACTCCATCTGTAAGTATGTCTAAAAAAATTTTTAATTTTTCATTTAGTGATTGCTAAATAAAAGAAAACACTGAAGTTTACTAACATTAGAATTTTTTAATTATTTTATAGCAATGAAATTATCGTGAAAAAAATGTTATATGTAAAAATTTAAAAAAATGTTAGTGGACATTTTTTAAAGAATTTTTTTTTATTGTAATCGATTTATTATAAAAATTTAATTAAAAAATTCCATGTATGAAAATAAAAAAAAATGATTAGTGGAAATTTTTTAAAGAATTTTCAACTTCCCGTTAAGAAAATTGAAAATTTTCCTCTAAAGGAAAGTTATTGGTTTCGGTCCGATTTTCGAAAGTCGAGTTTTCATCGGGTCTTTATGTTTTGAGGTCCCAGAGAGCTATTCTGACTATTCCCGCCGAAGTGTGCGCCCGTGTGTGGGTGTGTATGTGTGAAAATAAATTTTTGTCGTACGGTTTTTCAAAAACGAATCAACCGATTGAATTCTACGACACGTTATTCGAAAGGGTTCATCAAAACTTAGATCTGATTAGATTTGAGAGTTAATCCATCGAGCCATTCCAAAAAAATAAAAAAAAAAATTTGAATTTTTATTTTTAAACCCATTCCTGCCATTACGGTCTAGTATAATTTTTGCTAGTATAATTCTAATTCAAGTGGATGGTAATATTCCATCATCACTAACAATTTGGGACAAATCGTCCCTTGGAGAGTTAGTCGATGGGGTAACCATCGAACTTGAACACTAGTTAGCTGGTGAATGTTAGTATCTGTTCGATTCTATTTTTTTAAGTATCAACGATGGAAAAAATAACTGAGAATAAAGAGCAACTTTTGAAAAAATCCGTGAAAAATTAACCAAGCCAGGAATCGAACCTGGATCTTCCCGATTACATGTCAGGCTGCTTTTA